TAAGCTCAAAAGTTAAACAAGGCGTGTGCGCTCTTTAATCATAAGTCATTTTAATAATTAAAAATATAAACAAATCAATAAATCGATATATTATTCCAAAAAATAAAATAAAAATAATAAATAGTAAATAACAAACGTAAAAAATCAGATCAAAGATGACCTAGACCTGCTGAGATGAAAATAAAAAACAATGTATCCCTTGAAAAGAGCAAATATGATCACACAAAAATGCAAAGTGCACAGATGGGTCAAAAGGATTATCTCAGACACTAGGTAAAAAGTAACAAAGTGTCAGAGTATTATCCCTACCAGACCCAGATACAAATATAACAACTCTAACAAGTGATACTATACTAAGTATATACTGTAATAGATATAAAAAGTACCTTTCCTCGGTGTGGGCCCCCCACCGAGGTATATACACAGAACGTGTAGAAAAAATAATAATAAATGAAGCGAGCTGGAGGCGATAATGATAAACTTGGAGAGATGGTAAAATCCAGCAAGTGGCACAGATGGTTCCTCAGGATGATGTAGAGTATACCGCGGTCGGGATCTTCAAAAAAGACCACGATATATACAGGACACACTCACCGCCACGGCTCGTTACAGCTTCAATACCAAGTAAGTTCATCCGATGGAAAAAAACCGCCAAAGTGCAAAAACGCTTCCTGCTCTCACTCCTCAATCACAGCAGGTGTAGGTTCATCCGATTCACCCGTCTACGCGTTTCGTCCCTCCCACGGGACTTTTTCAAGACAGGAACTGCAATGTGAAGTAACCCAATATATATACCCCACCATCAAATAAAGCAGGATTGGATTCACTTGCATATACATAGCAAATCTTGTCTAGGTATAAATAAGATTTAATATAAAAGAAATAAATATAAAATCATTCAAAATAAAACCTGATATTCAGGTCAGGCAACAAATACAAAACACAATATGTGTAACATATATATCCCACCCCTCCCTCCCCCCCAAAAAAACAAAAAAGCAACATATTAAAGATTATTTAAAAATAAAAAAATTTAAAATAAAAAGCAGCAATTATCTGTAATATCTCAAAATAATTCTAGTTCCTCATTTAAGCCATTAGGTGACATAGAGTTCAGCTTGAAGATCCACACTGATTCAGCCTTAATTAATTCACGTTTTTTCTTCGCTTCATCCTGATGGAAGGGAATATGTACTATTCCCATTAATTTAAGACCAACAGGATTATTATCATGAAAGATAGTAAAGTGGCGGGCCACCGGGGATCTACTATCGTTACGTAATATAGCTGTCCTATGTTCACGAAATCTACATTTCAAGGGTCTGATAGTTTGACCCACATATTGCCGTCCACAGGGACAAATTAGGAGATATACCACAAAAGAAGTGTTACAAGTAATTGATGACTGCACAGAAAAGATCTCAGTACTATCAAACGAACTAAACGTGGATTGTTGATGACAAATAAATCCACAAGTTAAGCATTTAGCATGACCACAACGCTTATTAACTGCAGCCTCTTGGCACACTCTCTGGTGTCCTACATTTTGACAGTGCAGTTTCGAAGGAGCTAGGATGTTTTTCAAATTAGGGGCCCTTCTAAAAGTAACCCTGGGAACCTTTGAAATACAGAAAGACAACCAAGGGTCACTGGTCAATATTGGCCAATATTTGTCAAAAACTCCTATAATCTCATCAAAACCTATATTAAAGGTAGTGGAAAATATGGGTGTTTTGCCTGTGCCGACCTCTTTGGTACTGATATTAAATTTTGCTTTTTTCAGAGACTGGTCACAGGACCCACCCAAAAGTTCAAGGATCTTAAAGTGTTCACTAGAGTGGTGTTCTTGTCCTCTATATAAAGATGATATAGAGGAATTCATCGTAAGCAAAGTTTTATTATGAGCCTCTGACCGTGGTATCATCCCAAACTTAAGACCTTTCAAATAAGCCTCCAGGATAATCCTCAGAGGATAGGCTTTCTCTACAAAACGCTGGGAAAGCATTAGTGCCTCTTTTTCATAATCACACATAAATGAGCAGTTGCGTCTGATTCTAGTGAACTGCCCCGAGGGGATATTCTGGATCCACGTGGGATGATGCCCACTTCTAGCATGTAGATACCCATTAACATCCACACTTTTCTGATATGTCTTGGTGATAATTTTACCCTCAACCCCAATTAGGGTGAGATCCAGAAAATCTATAGTAGATTTATGTTGTTTATGTGTAAAAGAGAGGCCCCACTGATTATTGTTAATGGACATCATAAAATCCTCTACTTCACCCCAATTACCCTTCCAAATAATGAGGATGTCATCAATGAACCTACGATAGAGGGCGAGACGCCCCATCCAAAACTGGTTGGCGAAGATCGTAACTTGTTCCCAGTAGCCCATAAATAAATTGGCATAGGATGGGGCGAAACTCGCCCCCATCGCGGTTCCTTTGGTCTGTACAAAAAACTTGCCATTAAACTCAAAATAATTATGTTTCAGCATAAATTCGGTAAACCTGATAACAAATTCAGAGCTGGAAGAAGGGGATCAGAATTCAAATACCAAGTAAGGGCTTTTAAACCCAAAACATGATCTATATTAGAATATAGGGCTTCCACATCAATCGTGAGCCAACAATAGTGTTCCTTCCACTCTAACTCATTAACAATGGACAACACATGTCCAGTATCCTTCAAGAAGGACGGTAGATGTGGAACAAAACGTTGTAGATGGAAATCGACCCACTTAGAAATCGGTGCAATTAGAGACCCTAGCCCAGATATAATAGGGCGACCAGGTGGTTTTTCAAGCGATTTATGCACCTTAGGAAGGTAATAGAAAATAGGGATCTCCCCTTGAGCTGAGAGAAAAAAAATCCTCTCTTTCTTATCAATGGCTCCATGTAAAAATGCTGATTCTATGAGATCTCTCAGTTCCTTTCTGAAGCATATAGTAGGGTCTGACCCTAAAATCTCATAGTACTCTAAATTCCCCAAAATTCGCTCAGCTTCCTGTAAATAATCCACTCTGTCCAGCAGGACAATACCCCCTCCCTTATCTGCCCCTTTAATAATAAGATTATGATTATTCTTTAGGCTATTAATAGCTGCTCTCTCAGATGCCTCCAAATTAATGCACACTAGATCTTTTTTCTTTTTATAATCAGCGCAAAGAATTTTCAGATCTTTCAGGACTAGTTCATAGAACATTTGTAAATAAGGACCTTTATCTCCCTGTGGATAAAAGGTCGAGGGTTTTTTTAAACCAGATGAAATATTGGACTTGAGTATACAGATAAGGTCATCCTTCTCTTCTTGCAAATCCTGTTCTTCTAATAATGAGACAAGATTATGAAAAATAATTTTATCCTGTGGGGTATTTAAGGACTTTGGACAATCTTCTCTGCCCTTAGCATCCCTAAGATTAAAAGATCTGATAACCGTAAGTTTTCTAATAAAGTGGTTCAGATCTTTAAACAAATCAATTATGTTTGGTAATCTATCGGGGGCATACTTAAGTCCTTTATTCAGAAGAGAAATTTCCCCAACATTTAGATTGTATGTTGACAGGTTAAATAAACCTTTGATCAAAGGCACCTCATTTTGGCGGGACTGTTTTCCCCTTCCCCTCGTTCCTCTACGAAAGCCCCCCTCCTTTTCTGGGGGCGTTTGAATAAAGGGAATGTTTTGTCTTTTTCCATTTGGGGAAGTGATTCTAAAAAATCATCATCTGTATGATCTATAACATGCTTTCTATGTGGATTGATCTTCTTGGGTCTCGCCCCCAAACCACCAACCAAATCAACCCCAACCTTTGGTACCTCCTCTGCTTTATCGGGACGAAAATTACGTCCCAAAGGGATATAATTAGGGTTGGGTGAATAGTTGTTATAACGTGGTGGGGGCGGCATAGGATTCTTTTTTATTTTTATCGCTGTTTTCTCCCCATAAACCGTAGAACGAGATCCTTTTCCATAACGGGGATTTCTCACAATATCAGCATATGACCCAATTTTCTGTTTAAATCCCCCTTTTGGAGATAAATGAGAGCAGGTAAGACTACCTTCCTTATATCCTACTGGATGGTTATAAGTGGATCTGGAGCTGCGTTTACGTTGCCAGCTCCTAACTTGTCCATTTTGATAATCAAGTTTATCCCTCTGAAATTTTTTCTTTTTACGCATAATGAGCTCCTTTTCGAAACTAATTAGTTTCTGATTGGTGGCCTCATCTAGCTTAGAAATAACAGACGATTGCTCTTGAATAGAGCCTATCCGTCCTTGTAAATCCATAATACTCTTTTCCGTAACACAAAGCCTGGATTCTCTATATCTAATTAAAATATCCATAAGTATAAAAGAGCAGGTATCTAAAGCCCCCAGCCACTCCTGTTCTAGAGGTGTATTATCATTAAAAAATGGTTGTTTCTCAAACCTCAGACCTCTCGGGATAAATTTATTATCGATGTATTTTTTCAGGAGGGCACTATCCCACCAATCTCTCATTTCAGACTTGAGGGTTTTTTCCAACTCAAAAAATAATTTATGGATATTGGTTTCCATGGCCGGGACCATTTCTATGTCCTCAGAATCTTTATCTTTAAGGAGATTAATTCTCCTATCAAGCCTGTTAGTAACACTATGTAGATCCATTCTAAAACAAATATGCCGATATATAAAAAATAAATATCAATATAAAGGGTGTAATAACCACCTAAATATAAGCGTTATACCCAATATAAAAATAATAATAGTTGCCTGACCATACACCTAAAATGCGCTAGTATACTAATAGAAATAATATAGAAAATATACAATAGAGGTGCAAATATATGTAAGAAAATAATAAAAATAGGAGCAGCTACACGCATCCACTAGCGACTATGAATGAGTGTAAGCTCAAAGGTTAAACAAAGCGTGAGCGCTCTTTACTCATGAAACATATTGAAAATATAAATAAATCAATAAAACAGTATTTTATTCCAAAAAAATTATATATATAAAAAAATAATAATAAATATAAAAAACCAGATCACAGATGACCTAAACCTGCTGAGATGAGAATAAAAAACAATGTATCTCTTTCTGTAAAAGAGAAAAATTTAGCGCAGTCAGGTATCGCAATGGAAGTCAGCGTAGTAATCAGATTACTGTTCGCTGTCAAAGTGTCAGTGTCGTATACTAACCAGAGTTATTGGTTCGTAATACCGTAATTGGCGTGTACAAAATTTTTTCGCCTCGGAAAGACAATGAATAATGACGAGCGCCTGGCGCGTGAAGTTCAAAGGTACAGCGATTTCAAAAGCTGGCAATAATGGCAATGGGACGAAGCGCGATATAAGCGCCATGTTATCGCCGACGGCAATACCCAAACGCCAGTGGTGCGCCCAGGCTCACGCTAATCGGCTCGTTTCATCACGATGTGGTTCATCGTTTACTGCCGCTACGGCAAAGCGTTTTCCATCAGGGACTTTTTCAAGAAGGTATTGCAATGTAGTTCAACCTGTTATATATCTTCACTGTCCACAGTATTGACTACCTTCAGCAGGAGAAGCATAGCAAATTTTATCAAGGTATAAATAAGATTTAATATAAAAGAAGTAAATATAAAATCATTGTACAAATGATATTCAAATGTCAGGTGTCAGTCGCTAAAACACAATATGTATAACATATATCTTCACTTTCTCCCTCAAAAGCAAATATTAAAGATTATTTAAAAATAAAAAAAATTTAAAAATTAAAAGACAGCAATTATCTGTAATATCTCAAAATAATTCTAGTTCCTCATTTAAGCCATTAGGTGACATAGAGTTCAGCTTAAAGATCCACACTGATTCAGCCTTAATTAATTCACGCTTCTTCATCCTGATGGAAGGGAATATGTACTATTCCCATTAATTTAAGACCAACAGGATTGTTATCATGAAAGATAGTAAAGGGCGGGCCACCGATCTACTATCATTACTGCACATGGCTGTCCTATGTTCACGAAATCTACATTTCAAGGTCTGATAGTTTGACCATATATTGCCATTGCCGCCCACAGGGACAAATTAGGAGATATACCACAAAAGAAGTGTTACAAGTAATTGATGACTGCACAGAAAAGATCTCAGTACTATCAAACTAACTAAACGGATTGTTGATGACAAATAAATCCACAAGTTAAGCATTTTAGCATGACCACAACGCTTATTAGCTGCAGCCTCTTTGGCAAACTCTCTGGTGTCCCTACATTTTGACAGAAAGTGCAGTTTTAAGGAGCTAGGATGTTTTCAAATTAGGTTCCTTCTCTAAAAGTAACCCTGGGAACCTTTGAAATACAGAAAGACAAACTATGGTCAATATTGGCCAATATTTGCCAAAACTCCCTATAATCCTTCATCAAAACCTATATTAAAGGTAGTGGAAAATGCTGTCTTTTAAGTTTAAAATTTTTATTTTAAATAATCTTTAATATGTTGCTTTTTTGGGAGGGAGGGGTGGGGTATATATGTTATACATATTGTGTTTTGTATTTGTTGCGTGACCTGAATATCAGGTTTCATTTTGAATGATTTTATATTTATTTCTTTTATATTAAATCTTATTTATACCTTGATAAGATTTGCTATGTATATGCAAGTGAATCCAATCCTGCTTTATTTGATGGTGGGGTATATATATTGGGTTACTTCACATTGCAGTTCCTGTCTTGAAAAAGTCCCGTGGGAGGGACGAAACGCGTAGACGGGTGAATCGGATGAACCTACACCTGCTGTGATTGAGGAGTGAGAGCAGGAAGCGGTTCTGTACTTTGGCGGTCTTTTTTCCCCATCGGATGAACTTACCTGGCATTGAAGTTATTGCGAGCGGCGGCAGTGAGTGAGTTCTGTATATATCGCGGTCTTTTTTGAAGATCCCGACCGCGATATACTTTATAGCATTTTGAGGAATCCTGTGTGCCTTTTGCTGGACTTTAACATCTCCTGAAGTATACCATTACCGCCTCCAGCTCGCATCATTCATTATTTTTATTCATTTGTCTTTTTCTACACGCTCTGTGTATGTACCTCGGTGGGGGGCCCACACCGAGGAAAGGTATTTTACAGTATATACCTAGTTTTGTATTATTTGTTACAGTTGTTATATTTGTTTCTGAGTTTGGTGGGGATAATACTCTGACACTTTGTTGTTATTTTTTACCTAGTGTCTGAGTTAACCCTTCTGACTCAGTTGTGCATTCTGCATTTCTGTAGATTTATATTTTCTCTTTCTAAGGGATACATTGTTTTTTATTCTCATCTCAGCAGGTTTAGGTCATCTTTGATCTGGTTTTTTATATTTGTTATTATTTTTTTTTTATATATATATAATTTTTTTGGAATAAAATACTGTTTTATTGATTTATTTATATTTTCAATATGTTTCATGACTTAACACAATATGGCCATATGGTGGAACTGCAACCCAATATTTCTTTGCTGAAATAGGTGATTTTAAGTAGCCTTATAACATTTGAAACTGTATGTTTATATGAGTGCTGTTCCTTAATCTGTTTTATGTGTGTATCTGTGTGTCATTGTGTGGGTATGTCAGTGTTTGCATATGTGTGTGTCTGAGTGTGAGTATGCATCAGTGTGTGTATATATGTGTGTGTGGGTGTGTATCTGTATGTGTGTCAATGTGTCAGTTTCTGTATCTGCACTTGTGCCTCAATGTGTATATGTGCATAGATCCCAGCAATCAAACACCAACACTACATGCAAATACACATTTCTTCACCGGCATTAAAGGACCACTCTAGGCACCCAGACCACTTCAGCTTAATGAAGTGGTCTGGGTGCCAGGTCCAGCTAGGGTTAACCCGCTTTTTTATAAACATAGCAGTTTCAGAGAAACTGCTATGTTTATAGATGGGTTAATCCTTCCCCCAAAGCCTCTAGCGGCTGTCTCATTGACAGCCGCTAGAGGCGCTTGCGTGCTTCTCACTGTGATTTTCACAGTGAGAGCACGCAAGCGTCCATAGGAAAGCATTTTAAATGCTTTCCTATGCAACCGGCTGAATGTGCGCGCAGCACTTGCCGCACGTGCGCATTCAGCCGAATGGGTGGAGAGGAGGAGGATTGGAGGAGGAGAGCTCCCCGCCCAGCGCTGGAGAAAGGTAAGTTTTTACCCCTATCCCCCTTCCAGAGCCGGGCGGGAAGGGGACCCTGAGGGTGGGGGCACCCTCAGGGCACTATAGTGCCAGGAAAACGAGTATGTTTTCCTGGCACTATAGTGGTCCTTTAAGTAATGCATGTTTTTCAATTGCCACAGTGTATCACAATCTTTATTTGATACACTTATTTTAATCCAATCTGAAGCATTTGTATCCCTTACTCTCTAAATAAGTAGTGTATTACATACAGGAACCCATGTGAATTAAGCCTTTTTTTAATTTTGCTCCACCCTGTGGCTGTATTTAGGTACTACACTACTCTAATTACATTATTTATTTACATCTACATTTATTTATTTATAAAATATTTTAGCAGGAAAGATACATTGAGATTTCTCCTGTGTTCATTTATGTCCTGGGTCCACAAAACATTTCATTGATACAATAGGGTGCAATAAAATACAAAACCAGTATTAAAACACAATATATACAAAATTTAAAGGGACACTATAGTCACCAGAACAACTACAGCTTGTTTAATTTGTTCTGGTGAGTAGAATCATTACCTTCAGGCTTTTTGCTGTAAACACTGTATTTTCAGAGAAAATGCGGTGTTTACATTACAGCCTAATGATAAATTCACTGGCCACTCCTTAGATGGCTGTTGGAGATCCTTCCTGGGTCATGGCTGCCTAAAATGCATCCAAACATTCAGTGTCTCCTCCATCTGCATGCAGACACTGAACTTTCCTCATAGAGATTCATTGATTCAATTCATCTCTATGAGGAGATGCTGATTGGCCAGGGCTGTGTTTGAATCATGCTGGCTCTGCCCCTGATCTGCCTCCTTGTCAGTCTCAGCCAATCCTATGTGGAAGCACTGTGATTGGATCAGGCCACAACTTGTAATGGTGTCAGCACACTGCTTGTTTTTCTGAGTCTAACAGCATGCAGAGTTACAGCTTCAGGCTTGAATACAGTAAGATTTTGCTATATTTATGGAGGTATGAGGGGCACTGGGGAGCTAGATGGTGGCGTTAACACTATAGGGTCAGGAATACATGTTTGTGTTCCTGACCCTCTAGTGATCCTTGAACATAGAACAGGTACGAAATATATAATCAACCATAACACATGCTTTATGTTTTGAGGTATGTAGAGAGGGATCTCTTAAAGGACTTTAGGCTTGGAGAAGATTTTAAAGTGTGCGGGAGGTGGTTCCATAATCGAGGTGCTCTATAGGAAAAGGAGGGCCGCTTTCTTTTTATATTGAGGTAGACTAAATAAAGTGCTGGTACTACAAAGAAAAAAGGAAAAAAAGGATAATAATATAATCTAACTCCTGAGTGGGGGTAAACCCCTAGTGCAATAAAATGCACTACAATACTAAAGCAAGGAGGGGAGGCAGGAGAAAGAACAGGATCAATGGTAAAGTGTCCTGTAGAGTGGTAATTACCTCATGGTAAGAGGGGTAGACTAGGATACGAAGGGCTCGGGAAAATCACTCAAG